TTCGTAATTTCGTCCACCATTACATCTTTCTCATCGACTTTTTTTCGCTTGGCGAATGTTCTTGAGCCGCTGAGCAGAATCTACGCACGCTCGAACACTTGAAATGCCTGCATGTTGACGGTTCGCAAGATTCTAGCGAGCTTGGTGGAAATCTATTATTTATTTTGGAATTTTTGGGGGAATCTGAATTAGAACGGTAGAAGCTCATTCGATATTCGGAGAAGACGGCGTGTCGCCGCTGTCGGATTGTCGCTACTGTGTTTCAGACGTATTTGCTTGAACGTGCTACCTTGGATGGACAGAAGATGAAGTGACGGCTTTCTTGAACACGGACGTTTTGTCTACATTGTAGCTGAAACATCTCATCTGGCGTCTAGAACGCAATTATCATGAGTTGTGAGTGCCAGCTGAGCTGAACACAAGCTGGACACCATTCGTCAGCTGGGAATTTGCATCGAAGCTCTTGATAGCCACGATAAGCATAATTATACAGAGGTAACCTTGTTTGACTCAATACGCATGCAGGTGATACCACTAGTGGCACTACAATGTAAATGGTGCAAAATTGATGCAACAGCGAATATGTACTTCGTACAATCACGAACAATTGTAAGGCAAGTGTTCATGCCTGTCATAGAAGAATTTCAGCCCGGAAGTCTTGTTGTCATGGCCATAAATAATACAGGACTTGAGTTGGCTCTGGACATAAACACACTTGTGGTGAATACGGTCATTATTGCGAGAAAAATATTTAGCCATTGTATGTTAACACCTGATGCCGCACTACAAGCAATATTTCATGTACATGTATGTGAGACTCAATTGCATCCACAAGGCCGTAGATGCATGTAAGCACACACTGCTGTACAGTATAACCCTATCAAAAATTTAATAATAATAAGAAGTAGTAGTCGACATGTGGTGCCTTCCTGCTGCACATGCACATGCGGCAAGTTGGCAACGACACATGACCTATCTGCACCGCACAGCGTGAGCTTAGAAAGGAATATTGCACACATAGTGCTATTTGTGTTCCGATATCATTAAGCCGGTATACATGTACTAGTATCCTTATACATGTACCTGGTCACTCGATAGGCGATGCCGACTGTATTAATCTTATCCATATTACCCGATAGGCTATAGCACACTGCGTCAGATCACTATGCAACAAAACAAGAGCTTTGGAGCGAATATACACTGAAGCAAAGTAGGTTTCAACGGTACAGCACTAGTCACGATGAGGGGAGTTACGAGGATGGTTATGATGATGATTGTTAATGATTCATGCACGGTGGAAAATAACCACCAATAGCGATGATATTGCTTTCACAACAATGACATCAGTAGGAGCAGTGACACAACCTTACTGCTCCAAGTAGGATTTACAAGCGAGTGAAGGGAGAGCAGACTGGTCTAATAGCAGACCGGGTCTAAGCAAGGAAGTAATCGGCATCAGAGGTGAGCTTGCACATCAGAAAACAGATGATGATCACCAAACACAGAGAAGTAAGTTGGCTATGTGTATGTTTGTGTCACTGTGTGTGCATGTGTGTGTGTGTGCATGTGTGTTTGTGTGTATGCGCGCACATCTGTGTGTGAGAGAGAGGCAGACAGACAGATAGCATATGGTGGGAGGGATCAAGGTCTGACCTCAGAGTTAAATGCTGACGGTGTGGAATAGCAACAGTGCGAAATCGGGCAGGGTGGTTAATGGCCCACACTGGAGCCGAGTAGGAGCGCCAGTGGTTGAGGGCTAGCACAGGAGTAACAGCAGCTCCAGCCTAGGAAGATCAGCTTCTGGATGAAAACCTCCCGGACACAGTAGGTACCACGCTTCACTAGCAGATTGCCGGCAGGGGTGCACGGCGAGCACCCGTACATCCCTCAAGCCACCAGAGCCGCAGTACTTGGACACGATCCAGGTGCTTACCCGCCAACAATGCTGAGAAGGCACTGGAGCCATACAGGAACTTATGATCGAGCATGACCACAGACTTGAAATACAGGGTCCGGCGTTGAATACTGAGACAGCGACGTCTCCTCCACAGAACACCACTCAGCCCCACCATTGCATTATTTTCGCTTTTTCATCATTTTTACAATTGTGTTAGAGCACACAGCATGCACTCGATGCAACATTTACCAGTGACTAAATAACTCCGCGTCTCCGACCACAACTGAAGCGTTCCCGTGAGCCTGTTGGATTTCAGTCAGCCTGTTGAGATTATCTTCATCTCGTCACATGTGAGCCTGTGTGTTTCATCCGTATCGTGGCACAATTACACAGACACGATTTCCAACACAGGCCGGTTCCGTTGCTCGAAGGGTTGGCGGTAAGAATTGCTACGCCGTCTGTGGCTGCATGGGAACTTGGCGAGTCGTCGTCTTTCTCCATAAATCCTGATCGTCACGCCAACAACAGCCACTATTGCCTAAAAACTACGACACAACAGTATCAAGCTCGCCCCAGCAGAAGGACACGAATGACGAGCGCCAAGACGGAGAAAGAGAGACAGGGTTAGCGAGAGCTGACTAGTGCAGGTACGCTGTCATCTCCTGAGGTGGTGGGCGAAGCAGCGAAGTGAAACGAAGGAAGATAGAACTTATTAGAAGGCATACGGAGGCACCAAAACCTATTGCCTGTCACATACTAAGTGCCATTTAGGGTTGACAGCTGTCAGCTGACAGCCTCAAAAATTTGAAAATCTGCTCAAAAAAATTCTCGATCAGAACTCTGCGCACTCTCAAATGGAGCGCACAGTAAAAAACTCGGCGACGAAGAACGCTTCGTATCGACGCCCTGGACTGAATTCGGCACGTCCAACAAAAGAAATAGTGTTCTCTGATATATTCTCTACGTGCTGGGTATGGTCGCGTTTAGTTGGAAGCTCAGTGCATCACCACTTTCGATTTTGAGACTTGGCCGATGGACTATTGTTGTTGACACATTTTCGCGCAAGCGGTTGCGCGCCGCTGGGACTCGGGGTTACTAAAACCAGTACAGAGCATCTCCCCCTTGGTCGGTTTGGACAATTTATGGCTTAAAATTTTCAGGAGACCCTGGCAAAGAAATTTACCGAGACGTGTTTTGGATACTCCTTTCCAAAACGGTACTATATCTCACGAAGTTTACGCGCATGCTCTGGCATACCCGTGTGAGTAATGAAAATTTGTTTCGGTAAATCTTTTGGAACACCTGTGTTCTGTGCCTGGGACAAGTCCCAGCCTCGTAGAACCTAGCTGAAGTGCTGTTCACTCCTTCAAACACCCCCTACTTCGAGCAAAAATGCGACGAAATGCTGACTAGTCGACTGCTGATTGGTCAAGCTGGCATTTTGGAGCACGTGCGCAGCCCCCATCTCCTCGACGCTTTTCTACGCAACTGTGAACCATGCAATAATTATTAGTTTGAATTAGAGACTCTTGATAAGCTCAACGGCTTCCAGTGACGTAATCACAGTTTGACATTCCTAGGTGACATGATGTAGTTACTTTTCGTAGTTCATTTCCTTTCTTTGAGGGTGTACCAGTGGTGCGTACAGGATCCCCCACGAACACGAGGGCAGGACCGCTGAATCCCGCCCGCGCCGCGATAGCGTCAAGGGTTGGATGAACGGCCGTACTGTGCCGAGTATCAGCCAGGGCCATATGGCGCAGAGAGGTACCAGCTGCGTACTATATAAATCTACTACTAGCAGCACCCGGCCAGCGTGGCCTGGCCGAACGACACGTGGCATATGCGGGTGAAGCAAGTACATGAACAGCACACGTGCTCAGCACGTGGTGGTGGCTACACGATTCGCACGCTTCGCGTGCTCAGTGCTTCTGTGGCTGCTTCCGCTAGCTACACGATTCGCACGCTTCGCGTGCTCAGTGCTTCTGCGGCCGCTAGCTACACTGTGCTACACTGTTCGCACGCTTCGCGTGCTCAGGGCAGCGCTGCTCCGCAGCGCTTCTGCGTGACACACACACAAACACACGTCACAGGTGCCTCTTCTTTATAAGTAAAGATGAAAGGAGGCTTCCCTGTACCATCTTTACTTATAAAAGAGAGGCACCTGTGACGTGTGTCTGTGTGTGTGTGTGTCACGCTCCTTATAAAGAAGAGGCACCTGTGACGTGTGTTTTGTGTCACGCCGCCCTGAGCACGCGAAGCGTGCGAACAGTGTAGCACAGTGTAGCTAGCGGCCGCAGAAGCACTGAGCACGCGAAGCGTGCGAATCGTGTAGCTAGCGGAAGCAGCCAGCCACAGAAGCACTAGCGCATAGCACTGAGCACGCGAAGCGTTCGAATCGTGTAGCCACCACCACGTGCTGAGCACGCGAAGGGTGCGAACAGTGTAGGTACAGTGCGCATGCGTGGTAGCGCTTATACTTATAGTTATAGCAGACACGATCAGTACGAGCAGTAGCAGCCGCGCGCAGAAGCACTGAGCACGCGAAGCGTGCGAATCATGTAGCCACCTAGCCTAGGCCATAGCCTAGCCTGCAGGCATAGGTAGCACTAGCAGCCGCACAAGCACTGCGGACCACGTGAACCGTTCTCTGCAAATAGAAACATCTGCAACAAAAGGATACAAAAGATCTGCACTGACTGCACTCTGCATCTGATCTGCAGTGAAGAGCGCATCGCACTTTTGTTCGTAAGTTTATGAATTTTTTGAGCCGCTTCATCCGCCACCAGGTGATGGACAACCCTGACCAGCCTCCCGAAGGCGTAACAGACGTCCCTCCTTCTCCTTCCAACGATGAAGAACCTCCCTCACCAGGACTTCAGCGGTCTGGCCACCACCACGTGCTGAGCACGTGTGCTGTTCATGTACTTGCTTCACCCGCATGCCACATTCGGCCAGGCAACGCTGGCGGGGGTGCTGCTAGTTACTAACTAACTTGACCTGTCTGTGTACACGTTTCAGTTACTTCAGTAGTTTCTTGTTCACTTTGCCAGTTGCAGTTTTACCTAAGCTAAGAAGCAGCTGCTCGCTCTTGTCGAGAGCAATGATTGCCAAAACAGGAGCCAGAGATGCTGGCCGAGGTCGAGGAAGGAGAGGTGGAGGAAGTTATCGGAAAGGATCCAAGGCCAGAATCTCACAACAAGCACCACAGCGCGCAGAGGAGCTTGACAGCAATGCCTACAGGTATTACGAGCCGGAGCCGTCACGGGATGATCAGTTTGATGAGGAAATAATGCAGAGGAAATACCAGCGGCAACAAGACGATGCCAAACAGTTTTCAGGGCTGCTACATCAACCGCTCAATACGGCTCTGCACCAGCACCGTCAAGACGCGATATTGCCAGAGGCTGACATTGGCATCGATCTGAACGCGCTGGCAAAGAACTTGCTCTCTATTCCTGTGCACACTCGCCTCAACATCAGTGCAGACCACCTTTCTAGTGCCACTATCGCTGAATTCCAACGAAGTGCTAATGCTAGTGCAGAGAGGGTGAAATCCAGCTACAATTCTACCTCCCAGCAACGACTAGTTAACGCCACGGACATTTCACCCGCACCCATTCATCAGTACATCGCAAGGGCAAGGATCCAGGATCTGCCTACTGTTGCGGATAACGTTACTACTGCACTCAGCACTAGCAGCAGTGGTGAGCAGAAAAGCGTTCCGGCACAGTCTGATCCTGGCCCCTGTAACTCTGCTCCAGCTGCTTCACCAATCCAGCAGGTTCAGCCTACTCCACAACAGTGTGGTCCGTATGCTCAAGTCAGCGATGGGAAAGATGGTGATGGTGATGCTGTGTTGGATGCTATATTACTATTAGCCCTGCCAACAGCATCAGCAACACCTGCAGCAGTTACCTCGACTAGCACAACCACTGCACCAGCACGAAGACGCGACCCGACGCCAGCACCAAGAGTGACACATGGACTGCAGACTGCAGCAGGAGCCATTGGCCACAATGGTGATGCGTCAGCACATTGCGCACCTACAACGTCGCTGACCAGTGTTCTTGTCACGACCACAACTTCCAGAAGTCCAGCCACTGCAAGCAATAGCTCTAGACAGAACATTGTGTCATGGAGCCGCATGTCCGCCAAGCCAACAGTAAGTGCCAGTATGGGACAGCGCGTGACCAACAAAGGTGCTCCCAACAAAGGTGCTCTGGTAGCCAACAAAGGTGCTCCAGTTGCGGCCATTGGAGCCGGACTTATGAACATGGACACCGTTGCAACGAGTAAACGTTCTGCTGCTGTTGCAGCCGTGGCAAATGCAGATGACTATGACGATGATTTGGACTTCTTGCTTGCTTTGTAGTACAGCAACAGCAGCAGCAGCTATGCTGTTGTGCCCTTTCCTGGACTCACTATGCACACGCTGCAACTAGGCAACCTATAGCTGAGATGATCCTTCTGTTTGGTGTTATCGTTAGAAATCTTTGTTCTCACGCTGTTGTTGTTGTTGTTCTTATTCCTTGGAGCTGGTCTCCATTAATCTTTCGTCCAAATGCAGGCATTGGTCTGCATTGTCAATCGTCATGTTTCTTTCATTTGCTTGTCTTGGTCGCGGGCACCTTTCCCTACTAATATCTGGCAATATCGCGTCTTGACGGTGCTGGTGCAAAGCCGTATTGAGAGGTTGATGTAGCAGCCCTGAAAACTGTTTGGCATCGTCTTGTTGCCGCTGGTGTTTCCTCTGCATTATTTCCTCATCAAACTCATCATTCCGTTACGGCTCCGGCTCGTAATACCTGTACTTATTGCTGTCAAGCTCCTCTGCGCGCTGTGGTGCTTGCTGTGAAATTCTGTCCTTGGACCCTTTGCGATAACTTCCTCCACCTGTCTTTCCTAGACGTCGGCCGGCTTCTCTGGCTCCTGGTTTACCAATCCTTACTCATGATAAGAGGAAGGAGCTACTTCTTAGCTTAGGTACAAGGTGCAAAACAAGACTTCGAGTCAAACTGCAACTGACAAAGTGAACATCAAACTTATAGCGGCCACTAAACAGACAGGGCAAGTTAGTGTTTGTTATGGTACAGGCAAGCCTCCTTTCATCTTTACTTATAAAGAAGAGGCACCTGTGACGTGTGTCTGTGTGTGTGTGTGTGTGTGTGTGTGTGTGTGTGTGTGTGTGTGTGTGTGTGTGTGTCACGCTCAGGCCATACTGCGGAGCAGCGCTGCCCTGAGCACGCGAAGCGCGCGTGCGAACAATGTAGCTAGCGGCCGCAGAAGCACTGAGCACGCGAAGCGTGCGAATCGTGTAGCTAGCGGAAGCAGCCACAGAAGCACTGAGCACGCGAAGCGCGAGCGTGCGAATCGTGTAGCCACCACCACGTGCTGAGCACGTGTGCTGTTCATGCCACGTTCTAGCCTAGGCCATACTAAAGAAGAGGCACCTGTGACGTGTGTGTGTGTGTAGGTAGCAGACACGATCAGTACGAGTAGCAGTAGCAGCCGCGCGCAGAAGCACTGAGCACGCGAAGCGTGCGAAGCATGTAGCCACCTAGCCTAGGCCATAGCATAGGCATAGGTAGCACTAGCAGCCGCACAAGCGCTGCGGACCACGTGAACCGTTCTCTGCAAATAGAAACATCTGCAACAAAAGGATACAAAAGATGTGCACTGACTGCACTCTGCATCTGATCTGCAGTGAAGATCAAGAGCGCATCGCACTTTTGTTCGTAATTTTATGAATTTTTTGAGCCGCTTCATCCGCCACCAGGTGATGGACAACCCTGACCAGCCTCCCGAAGGCGTGACAGACGTCCCTCCTTCTCCTTCCAACGATGAAGAACCTCCCTCACCAGGACTTCAGCGGTCTGGCCACCACCACGTGCTGAGCACGTGTGCTGTTCATGTACTTGCTTCACCCGCATGCCACATTCGGCCAGGCAACGCTGGCCGGGGGTGCTGCTAGTAGACTTATAAGTTATATATTACGCATCTCGTGGCTTCTTTGCACCATGGCTGGTATTCGGTCAGGACCGCTATTCATCCAACCCTTGGGGCCTTGCCGCTATCGCGGCGCGGGTTGAATTCCGCGGTACTGCCCTCGTGGTCGAGCAGGAGCCTGTATGCGCACGCACCACTGACACTGGTAGCCCTGGGTACACCCTCATAGTCATAGAAAGAAAAATAATACTTGTAATAACAATGAGAAGTCACATCATGTCACCTAGCAATGACTATGTCAAACTGTGATTACATCACTGGAAGCCGTCGAGGCTATTATTATTAAGTATTATTGTGAACTGGCCATTTTGAACTGGCCACGCGCACTGATTGTGAAGTGCAGCCAATCACAGCTCTGGAATATTCAAAAATCAGTCGATTTGTAATATTATTGTGTTTGAGTCGTGGGCCACATGCTGCCGTGGATATCGTCACTGCAGCAGGGAGGAGAACATACGTCATAATTATCATACAGATTTACATGACTGTATACATGTACGTTTACACGGTTACACGTAGACCTACACATCAATGCGGAGCAGTTCACTGTTCAAGTGTTGCACTTGCGGTACTTCGCAGCAGCCACCATGTGCATGTGATTGTTGTTGTTGATTCTATTCTAATTCACATTGACAAAATGAGCAGAGGTGCTCAATAACAAGGAAGCGAATGAACGTGCCGAGAAGCACGAGGGGACTGAACATAATTATTAGATAATGGGGAATGGGTAGGTGGAATCTTGACCCGAGATGGACATTGAGAGCTCTGATACCGAGGGGCAAACATTTAAAATTTATAATTAGGAGAGAAATATTTCAGAGGCCGCGCCGGGGGGGGATCAACGAGAGCCATGAAATGCGGCATTATTGATTATAAAAAAATTATTAGAGCGTGCTATTGATTACAAAAAAAATATTCTCGTTGCTATGCAGAAGACGTTACTTCAGTAACGTCTGGCGCTAGTCAGAGTCCACACAGCTTTAATTTGGTGTTCGTTTGTTTGTTTGTGTGTTTCTGGGTTTGTGTCACGCCTGGCTCTATCCCGTATCTGTCCCGTACCGTACCGTACCATCAAACACAGCTGTCCACATACAGCTGGCCGCAATATTCAAAAAGGGCTTTCAAACGCAAGATCATAACGTGAAGCAACTATTACTTGGAAGAATGAGTATGAATGCGAAGTGTATGGGGGAATGCATGTGGGGCGATAGTGCGGGTTCGAATCCCAGGTATTGGCTGGAAAAAATACTGAAAAAAAGAGAATTGAAAAATTTATAACATCCCTTTTCTTTTCTTGCCGTCATCAAGGCGGTAGACGGTGCCGTATAATTACCCTCGACCGTACCTGTCCCGTACTTATCCCGTACCGTACCGTACATTTAAAGATGGCTGGCCACAATGCATATTCAAATAGGGCTTTGAAATACAAGATCATAACGTGAAGCAACTTGGAAGAATTAGTATGTATGCGAAGTGTATCGGGGGATGCATGCAGGGCGATAGTGCGGGTTCGAATCCCAGGTTATGTCTAAAAACAAAAAGTAGAAACTTATAAGAATTTATAACATCCCTATGCTTTTCTTGTCTAGGTCATCAAGGCAAAAAAGCATAGCGTAGGGCCCTGAGCTTCCAACTTCCAAGCTCTCTCGTTAGAGGAGCACGCTCAGCGTATCATAGGCCGATCAACGCCTTGCGCCCCCTTGCAATGGCCGAGGGCCGGCTGTGACAGCTTTCAGTGATGTAATCACAGTTTGACATAAGTCATTGCTAGGAAAGGCTAGTACTCAGTACATGAAGGCTAATGACTATGTGAAAGTATGACGTGGGCGCGGGCCGAGTGTTCAAACCTGCAGTGCATAGTACCTGGAAGGTCAAGTGCTTGGTGCGACACAGCACGTATAGTGTATACTATGTAGGTACTGGGTAGTGATGTCAGATGTCGCCCACGAATCAAACACATTTACCAATCGACTTTTTAATTGTCCAGAGCTGTGATTGGCTGCACTTCACGAGCAGCGTGCGTGGCCAGTTCAAAATGGCTGCCATGTCTTATTTAAAAGTACACAATTAGCCTCAACGGCTTCCAGTGACGTAATCACAGTTTGACATTCCTAGGTGACAGTCATGATGTAGTTACTTTTCGTAGTTCATTTCCTTTCTTTGAGGGTGTACCAGTGGTGCGTAGGATCCTTCACGAACACGAGGGCAGGACCACTGAATCCAGCCTGCGCCGCGATAGCGTCAAGGACAAGGGTTGGATGAACAGCCGTACTGTGCCGAGTATACCAGCCATGGCGCAGAGAGGTACCAGCTGCGTACTATATAAATCTATGAAAGGAGGCTTCCCTGTACCATAACTAACTAACTTGACCTGTCTGTGTACACGTTTCAGTTACTTCAGTAGTTTCTTGTTCACTTTGCCAGTTGCAGTTTTACCTAAGCTAAGAAGCAGCTGCTCGCTCTTGTCGAGAGCAATGATTGCCAAACCAGGAGCCAGAGATGCTGGCCGAGGTCGAGGAAAGAGAGGTGGAGGAAGTTATCGCAAAGGGTCCAAGGCCAGAATGTCACACCAAGCACCACAGCGCGCAGAAGAGCTTGACAGCAATGCCTACAGGTATTACGAGCCGGAGCCGTCACGGGATGATCAGTTTGATGAGGAAATAATACAGAGGAAATACCAGCGGCAACAAGACGATGCCAAACAGTTTTCAGGGCTGCTACATCAACCTCTCAATACGGCTCTGCACCAGCACCGTCAAGACGCGATATTGCCAGAGACCGACATTGGCATCGATCTGAACGCGCTGGCAAAGAACTTGCTCTCTATTCCTTTGCACACTCGCCTCAACATCAGTGCAGACCACCTTTCTAGTGCCACTATCGCTGAATTCCAACGTACTGCTAATGCTAGTGCAGAGAGGGTGAAATCCAGCTACAAAGCTACCTCCCAGCAACGACTAGTTAACGCCACGGACATTTCACCCGCACCCATTCAGCAGTACATCGCAAGGGCAAGGATCCAGGATCTGCCTACTGTTGCGGATAGCGTTATTACTGCACTCAGCAATAGCAGCAGTGGTGAGCAGAAAAGCGTGCCGGCACAGTCCGATCCTGGCCCCTGTAACTCTGCTCCAGCTGCTTCACCAATCCAGCAGGTTCAGCCTACTCCACAACAGTGTGGTCCGTATGCTCAAGTTAGCGATGGGAAAGATGGTGATGGTGATGCTGTGTTGGATGCTATATTAGCCCTGCCAACTGCATCAGCAACACCTGCAGCAGTTACCTTGACTAATGCAACCACTGAACCAGCAGGAAGACGCGACCTGAAGCCAGCACCAAGAGTGACGAATCGACTGCAGACTGTGG